TCCGGCCCCCGCCCGCCGTCGCCGCCGCCAATCCGGACGCCGCTCCCCACGCACGAAGAGAAAGAGGGAGAGATAGAGAAGGGAGGAGAGGGAGGAGGAAGAAGGGATAAAGAGAGGATGACATGTGGGACCCACATGTCAGTGGGTCTCACAATTTTTGTGTGAATGATAAATAGGCCCCGCATATATTTTTTAATTTTAATGCTACATAAGTGCCACGTCAATGCCACGTGGGACGAAAACCAAGTCAACACTGCCACGTGTGTACCACGTCAGCAAAACCGTCCTCCAAAACCACCTAAGGAGTCAAATTGTACCAGTTTTGATAGTTCGGGGATCAAGATTTCTGGTATTACGATTGAGGGATATGATTTAGATTCGGTGGTCAGTTGAGGGAGTCAAAGTGATCTTATTCCTATATTGATTGATTTGCGGAAAAAGTACACCGAAGGTCCCTCAACTTGTCATCGAGTTACAAAATCGTCCCCCAACCACAGAACTAGATATATGGTGTCCCCCAACTTAAAAAACCGTTCACTCTAGGTCCTTTGGTGGTTTTGACACCGGTTTTAACCTACGTAGCGGCTGAGTCAGCGTGGGACTCACATGTCAGGATGCCATGTCAGCACCCTCTCTCTCTCTTCCCCTCCTCTCTCTCTCACTCTTCTCTTTTCTTCTGGGCAAACCGGCCGGCGGCTGGGGAGGAGACCGCCGAGGTGAGGCGGGAGGGGAGGAGGGCGGCGCTGCGACGGTGGCCGGCGGCGGCGGTAGCACGGCGACGGAGAAGCTCACGCCCTTGGCGATGCCGCTGCCGCTGAGGAGGTCCAGCGGCGTCGACGTGCTGCCTCCGCTGGCGTCATCGCTCTCCGGCGACTTCTTGACGAGGATGTTGCCGGCGTATCGGTCGATGTTGAGGAGGCGGACGTCGAGGATGCCGACGCAGTGCACGGATGCCACGGAGAAACGCGACGGGCCAAGCTCACCGGCGTCGTACTCGTGTGCCGGGAAGAGCTGGATCGATGCCGCGAAGCCGCCGCCGCACTAGAAGGGCGGCCAGAGCAGGCGAAGTGGCGGCATCGGTGGGCGAGCGCGGTGGCGGAGCGGCGGCGTCGGTGGGCGAGCACGGCTGCGGAGAGGCGTCGTCAGCGGGCGAGAGCGGCGGCGGGCGAGCGCGGCTGCGGATGGGGAGAGGCGGGCACCGACGACTCCACGCCGCTCGGCCTTGTCGTCGTCGTTGCTTCGGGCGTGGGCAGAGCTAGGCGGGGAACGCGGAGCAGAGGGGCGGGGGGCGCGGCGGGCGAGCGGCGACTCCGAGCGGCAGCCATCTCCGAGAGGCGGGCTCCTCCCCTGCCGGCCGCCGGCCGCGCCCGCCGGCCGCCAGCACGCACCGCCGCTGCGCCCGGCCCCGCCTCCACCTCCGAGCACACCACCGCCGCGCCATTCTTCGCCGACGCGTTCCCGTTCCCCGAGGCGGCGGCGGCGGCATCGCCGGCGCCGGCGCCATGGTCGGGGTCCCTCCCTTCACGTCTCGTCTTCACCGTTGACCTACACGGCGGCGACTGCACCATGTCGCGTGTCGTCGAGACGGACATCTCGTCGGTGTGGTTCCTGGGCTCGCCGTTCCACGTCGACGCGCTCGTGCAGGAGGACGGCGGCTAGGACGGCGAGGGCGGCGGCATGAGCGGCCAGGACGGGCTGGCCGTGGTGAGCGAGGCCATGGCGGGCGGGCGTGTGGCGGGGCAAGGGCGCGGAGGCGACGGCGATGCAGCGGTACGAGAGAAGAGTGAGAGAGAGGAGGGGAAGAGAGAGAGAGGATGCTGACATGGCATCTGACATGTGGGTCTCACGCTGACTCAGCCGCCAGATCGAACAAAACCGGTGTCAAAACCAACAAAGGACCTAATGAACGGTTTTGTAAGTTGAGGGACGACATATATATGGTTTTGCGGTTGGGGGACGATTTTGTAACTCGATGACAAGTTGAGGGACCTTCGGTGCACTTTTTCCATTGATTTCCCAATTCAGTTGGGCCGTGAAGAGGGCACGGCTCGTTCCTGGTTGGAATAAGTTCACTTTTGGTCCCTTTATTTGTCGCCTAGTCCGATTTTCGTCCCTTGACCACAAAACCGGGTATGACCCGTCCCCCAACTTACAAAAACCGGGTAAACATGGTCCCTCGGCGGTTTTGAAGGCGGTTTTGGCTGACGTGGCGCATACGTGGCTTGTTTGACTAGGTCTCCGTCCCACGTGGCATTGACGTGGCGCTTACATGGCAATTAAATCTCGCAAATTTAATAAAAAGTGTGGCCCCACATGTTAGCTGCACACAAAAAAAATTAAAAATGGTGGGGCCCATGTCAGCTACACAACAAAAAATATATGGTGGGGCCCACATGGTTCCCACATGTCATTCCCTCTCGGCTCACTCTCCTCTTCCCCATCGTCGCCACAACGCACGCCAAGATGCCGTTGTCATCCATCGCCGCGCGCAAAGAGGAGGGAGCGGCGCGGCGGCTGTGGGTGCAAGAGGAAGGGGCGGCAGAGCTTCTTTTTTCTCTCTCTCTCTCTTTCTCGGTCTCTCCCCTCTCCACCACGGCGAACAAATGGCCACGGCGAACATACCCGCATCCATGGCGGAGGACGCCCCCAGCACCGCCGCCGCCGCTGAGGGGAGCCAACACGCGTCGGCCGCGGAGGGAGGCTCCGCCGCCGCTCTCGCGGCATCAGTCGCCAAGGCCGCGAGGGAGAGGGATGGAGGCGGCGGCGGCGGGGAGCTCCCATGCGCATCGTGAGCACGTCGGTGACGGCGCGCGAAGCCGGTGGAGAGAGAGGCGGACGCGGAGACGATGGCACGCGAAGGAAGAGTCGGCGGCGCAGTAGGAGTCGATGGCGGTGGGTCCGAGGTCGTGCAGCTCCGGCCGCCGCTCCCTCCTCTCCTATCTACCGCCTGCCGCCGCGTGCCGCTCCCTCCTCTCCCGTCTCCCGTTGGCCGCCACGCACCGCTCCTCTGCCATCAGTCGCCGCGCCCTGCTTCGCCCGAGGCCCGCAGCCACTGCTTCCCCGGATCCAAGGCCGCCTCGCTCTGAGCAACCTCGCCGCCGGGATCCAAGGCCGCCGCCACTGCTTCCCGGACGACCTCCGCGAGCGGCCCCTCCTCTCGCCCAGCCGCCGCGCGCCGCCTCCCTCCTTGTCCGACCGCGGCCCACCGCCCCTCCTCTCGCCTGGCCGCCACGCGCCGTCTCCCTCCTCGCCCGACCGCCAAGCGCCGCCTCCCTCCTCGCCCGGCCGCCGCGAGCGGCCCCTCCTCATGCCCGGCTGCCGCGAGCGGCCCCTCCTCATGCCCTCCTCTGCGCCGCCGCAAGCTACCCCTCCTCGCCCGGCCGTCGCGCGCTGCTCCGCCCATCGCCCCCCTCTGCGCCGCCGCTCGCCGTTCTGTAAGGGAGAGAGAGGGGGCTAGAGAGAAGAGGGGGCTGACATGTGGGACCACATGGGCCCCACCTTTTCTTATTATTTTTGTGTAGCTGACATGTGGGTCCCACGTTTTTTAATTATTTTTCAGGATCCATTTGCCACGTAAGCGTCACGTCAATGCCACGTGGGACGAGGACCTAGTCAAAGGGAGCCACGTAGGCGCCATGTCATCCAAAACCGGGCACAATACTGCTGAGAGAAGAGTGAGAGAGAGGAGGGGAAGAGAGAGAGAGGGTGCTAACATAGCATCTGACATGTGGGTCTCACGCTGACTCAGCCGCCACATCGGACAAAACCGGTGTCAAAACCAACAAAGGACCTAGAATGAACGGTTTTGTAAGTTGGGGGACGACATATATATGGTTTTGCGGTTGGGGGACGATTTTGTAACTCGATGCCAAGTTGAGGGACCTCCGGTGCACTTTTTCCATTGATTTCCCAATTCAGTTGGGCCGTGAAGAGGGCACGGCTCATTCCTGGTTGGAATAAGTTCACTTTGGGTCCCTCTATTATATTGCTTACGTTGTACACATACTATCTACTCCACTTCCCATCAATATCTTGGGGATTTGCCTATACAAAGTACTCCCACCGTCCCATTAATAATGAATTAGGATGGATGTGAGGATAAATGTATCTTGATTTTTTATAAGACTGATAAAGTACACGCAATTACATTTTGTACTATACTATAAATATTAGGGCATGTACAACGGTCTCTATTACCTGACTCTCTTCGTTGCTATATTGGAAAATTCACTGACATGGCTGGGAGAGAAAGGAAAGCGGAGAAACATCGATGTTTTGCATGACATCGAACCAACATCGCCTCTGTTCGCTAAAAGCACGATGAGACAAGAGGAAAGACAGCGTTGCACTATCGATCTGTCGGAGAGAAACAAACTTACCTTTTTTTTTTTCAGTGAAGGAATCCAACGCTTATTCCTAGATGGCTATTTATTTATATTTTTATTTTTTCGAGATGGCTATTTATTTCTATTCCTAGAATTGAACTACTATGGCTGTGTTTAGTTCAGCGCAAAGTTTGAATTTTGGTCGAAATTAAAGATGATGTGACTGAAAAGTTGTGTGTATATGACAGGTTGATGTGATGGAAAAAGACTGAAGTTTGGATCTAAACTTTGAATCTAAACATAGCCTATATGTTGCTGGACAATACTATAGATCTTAACACAGCCTATATGTTGCTGGACAATACTATGTTTCTTTGCAGCATGTATATATGTATAGTTTTCTCTCTCAAACAAGCAACACAAAGCAGATACGAAAAGGGTACATTTGATCCGGTTCATTCATCAGCCAAATATGAGTACTTAATTAGCATTCATTAATACAGAGTCAACTTAAGAGACCACCCAATCCACTTAAGAGACCACCCAATCCTTGTAGGTGTACCATCTTTTGCTTACGTTGAGTATATGAGAGATCGCATTGAGCTCTACCATTGAACATGTCCATGCTGGAACTAGGCTATTTATTTCACCCAACTGCCTAACATATCTTAAATTATTGCAGAAGCGAAGCGACTGATAGGCCGCCGGTTCAGCGATAAATCTGTACAAGAGGACATCAAGCTTTGGCCTTTCAAAGTCATTGCTGGACCTGACGACCGGCCGACGATCGTGGTGCAGCATGAGGGCAAGGAGATGCAGTTTGTGCCCGAGGAGGTCTCCGCCATGGTGCTCTCCAAGCTGAGGGACGCCGCCGTGGCCTACCTCAGCGAGCCCGTCACGGACGCCGTCATCACCGTCCCCGTCTACTTCAACAACGCCCAGCGCGAGGCTACCCTCGACGCCGCCGCCATCGCCGGCCTCAACGTCATGCGCATCATCAACGAGCCCTCCGCCGCCGCCATCGCCTACGGCCTCGACAAGATGCCGCCGCCGGCCAGCGGCGCCGATGCAGCTGGGAGGACGGTGCTCATCTTTGATCTTGGTGGCGGAACCCTGGACGTCTCCCTCCTTAACATTGCTCGTCCGGGGAACAACAGCAGCAGCAACAGCGACAATGGCAGCTTCGAGTTCGAGGTGAAGGCCGTCGCCGGCGACACTCACCTCGGCGGCGCCGACTTCGACAACGCGATGGTGAAGCACTGCATCAACGAGTTCATCCGGAAGAACGACGTGGCGGAAGATGGCGTTTGGAGCAACCAGAAGGCGATCCGGAGGCTGAGGTCGGCGTGCGAGAGAGCCAAGAGGTTGCTGTCCTTCACGGCGCAGACCAGCATCGAGGTCGACTCGCTCCACGACGGCGTCGACTTCTGCGCCAAGATGAGCCGGTCCCGGTTCGAGGAGCTGAACAAGGAGCTCTTCGGCAAGTGCGTCAAGGCCGTGGAGAAGTGCCTCGAGGACGCCAAGATGGACAAGAGCGCCGTGCACGACGTCGTGCTCGTGGGCGGCTCCAGCCGCATCCCCAAGGTTCAGAGCATGCTCCACGACTTCTTCCAGGAGAAGAAGCTCCGCCACAGCGTCAACCCCGACGAGGCCGTCGCGTACGGCGCCGCCATCCAGGCCTCCATCCTCAACGGCGACTCCGACAACGCCGACGCCGACGCCGACGACAAGAAGCGGGTGATGATCCTGCGCGACATCACGCCCCTCTCGCTAGGGGTCGAGATCAATTTCGATCACACGATGAGCGTCGTGATCCCGAGGAACACCTTCATCCCGACCAAGAACACGCGGCGCTACACCACCCTCTACGACAACCAGATCCGCGTGAGCTTCCCGGTGTTCGAGGGCGAGAGCGCGAGCACCCTCGACAACAACCTGCTCGGCAAGTTCGTGCTGTCCGGCGTCCTCCCTGCGCCCAGGGGTGTTCCCCAGATCGACGTCACGTTCGACTTCGACACCAATGGCGTCCTGCACGTGTTCGCGGAGGACATGGGCACGGGGAGCAAGAACAACAACACCATCACCAACCACAGTGGGCGGCTGAAGAAGGAGGACGTCGAGCGCATGTCGCGGGAGGCCAGGAGCTACAATCGGAAGCGCAAGCGCACCAGATCATCGCTCCAGTAAGTATAGTAAATCATGTCATATATATACCGTCTTGGTGTAATTTTTTTTGCAATGCATCAATCCATGCTTTGTGCTAATTCTGTCACGGTAACTTTTTGTGTGGCATGTATGTCTACAGGATGAATTCTGGGAACCTGGTGATCTTGGAGTAATCTTCTGCACCCTGCTAGCTGGATGTTTCTGCATCCGGCAATCGAACTAATTAATTAATTTAAGTGTTGGGGAACAGTTTGTGTTAGTAAATTTAGTTACTGAACTTAATCTTGCTCTATATGCATGATTAGTACAGTACCTAATTAATCGAGCTTTTGTGGAAGATGCATGATGATATACTGATGTGTGTTTGATGGAGCCGTAAGAGCAGCTTTAGTTGCAATTTGTCTTATAGATGTTGTAGTTGCAGCAACTGCCAGGAACGACCGGCATGGAAAATAAGCCGGTGAAGAACATTGCTGATCGGTGAGGCGTAGGTCGCCGTTGATCAACCTAGAGGTTTGCAGTCCTTAGTACAAGTAGAGTTTGTTTCGTTTGACATCGAAATAAGTTGCATCGAAGAGATTCATGAACGCAAACACGTCGTAGCACCGAGATGCGACTTATATCGTGAAGAGGACCATGCCAAGCAAGGGAAAATATGAAAAGTTTTTTTTTAAGAAACCAATAATATGCTCGTGCTAAACGCTACGGTGCAATTATATGTATTTAATAACTTCTAAAATCTTGATTTTTCTATTCGTCACACAAGATACACGCCGGCCGCTACACTTTGAGTACATAGCATGAGCCAGTGAATATAAATCTAAATAATAGATTGATAAGAAGTATAACAAGATAGCAAGATAATAGCAGATGTCAAATTAATAGTTTCATTATGTATAACAAGATAACAATTGTTAGTCATCTCGTTAGCTTCTTATTTAAAGATCTACGTAGAACAAATATTAAAATTTGCCGATCGCAAAAGTACATATTTATAGAGATACACATGTTAACATATAGTCTTGTTATCAGCCTGGTCCAAACTGATGCTTGTGGCACGAGATGATACGGAGAACGTATTCACAAGAGTAAAGTCCATCACTAGTCTCTAAATTTGTACCGTTGTGTCATCCCGGTCCCTAAACTTGCAAATCGACCGTTCAGATTCTCAAACTTGTTCGACTGTGTCATCCCGGTCCCTAAACTTGCAGATCATTAATTTAGGTCCTCCAATTGTTCAGTTGTATCACCCCGGTCTCTAAACTTGGATTTGAATATCATCTGGGTCAAATAGGATGGTAAGACTTTATATTTAAAAATAATTCATAACTTTTTCATGTAAATTCTAATGAAGACAAACTTTATATCAAACTTGTAACCCTCGACATGATCTACAACTTTGTAATTGAATTTTTTTTATTTTAAGTCATTTTTTGTCCCAAAATGTAATTTTAAAAATTAAAATTTCAAAATCTATAAACATGCAACAATATTTTGGGACTCTAAACAGTTTTAATTCAAAAACTATTCAACTACAAAGTTGTAGATCGCATCAAGGGTTACAACTTTGATATAAAGTTTGTCTTCATTAGAGTTCACATGAAAAAGTTATGAATTATTTTTGATATAAAGTTTTTATACCATCCTGTTTAGGGACAGGGGTGACACAACTGAACAAGTTGGAGGACCTAAACGAGTGATCTGCAAGTTTAGGAAGTAGGATGACACAGTCGAACAAGTTTGAGAACCTGAACGGTCGATTTGCGAGTTTAGGAACCGGGATGATACAGCAGTCTAAGTTTAGAGACCAGTGATGGACTTTACTCTATTCACAAAATAGCCCGAGGGGAGGGGCGGTGGGAGAGGAGATCGCGGGGGCGCGGCGCTGTGCATGTTTGGCGGAAGAAGACGGTCGACGGCTCCCGTCGATCCAAAGGTGGTGCGTGTGGAGGTGCTGCCATCGGCGAGGGAACGAGGGAGGGGGAGAAGCGGGAGGAATGGATGCGGGAGGGAAGGGGCGCGAGGGGTGGATGCGCAGGCAGAGGCGATCAGCGGCTGAAGCGGCTCCCGTCCTCCGCGATGGTAGTGCGGTTGAAGGGATGGTGGTGCGGCGATGTGCGGAGGTAAAGAGGAAGGAAACCGACAGATGACCCTGGGTGCGATTTTCTACCCGATGACTGCGTGCAGGGGATCCGATCTGACCCCCGCTGTGTGACCCCCGCATGCGCCGCTATCATCCGATCTGAAGCGTTGTAAATAAAACTATAGGGTAGTATTTTTAGAGTTGGACACGATTACTAAGAAAGTAGATAGAAGTGAATGATGGAGGGTTGTGATTGGTTGAGTAGTGTAGGTAGGTAGGAAAAGTGAATGGTGGAGAATTGTGATTGGTTGGGAAGAGATCGTTGGTGAAGAAGTTGTTATATTTTAAAACGGAGGGAGTACTAGATTTGAACACCATCATCGCGGTTTGGTACTGTGAAAGAGAATCATAAGAGCAGGTACAATAGCAGGCTTTTAAGCCAGCTATAACTATGTATCGAGAAGAAAAAAGAATAGAGAAGAAAGCAGGTTGCAGATTTATACTCAGCTGTAACACGGATTTCAAGACGTTATATGTGTATGAGAGGTGGAATCAGGTATTAATGGTGTAGTATAATTTTATAGTTAACTATTGTATAAATAAGATACTCCCTCCGTTTCACAATGTAAGTCATTCTAGCATTTCTCACATTTATATTGATGTTAATGAATCTAGACATATATATTTATCTACATTCATTAACATCAATATAAATGTGGAAAATGCTAGAATGACTTACATTGTGAAACGGAGGAAGTATTAAATTAGCTATATATGATTTGGACCTAGAATTTGGCTATACACGCTCTGTGTCGCTTCGGTCTTTCTGGTTGGCAAAGCAACATGAATGGACGCCAATGACGCAATTAATCATCATGATCAGTGATTAATTAATTACTAATAATACTAAGGGCTTGTTTAGATTCACTGGTAAAATTTTACACCCTGTCAAATCAAATGTTCAGACATATGCATGGAGTATTAAATATAAACCGAAAAAAATGAGTAATTACACATATTGTGTGTAAATTAATTGCGAGACGAATCTTTTAAGCCTAATTGCGTCGTGATTTGATAATATGGTGCTACAATAAATATTTACTAATAACGAATTAATTAGGCTTAATAAATTCGTCTCGCGGTTTACATGCGAATTCTGTAATTTGTTTTGTTATTAGACTATTTTTAATACTTCAAATATGTGTCCGTATATATGATGTGACTCTTTAAAACTTTACACCACTAAATCTAAACACAGCCTAATTCAAGAAATAAGAATAATTAATTAATTGCTAATGATGCTAATTAATCTGCGCCGAGTTTCGTGCGGTCGAGGTCGCGTCCCTCATGCGCGAGATGTGTACACTTCTCGTTCGCTTTTAAATGTGTATATTCATGTAAAATCAATAAAAAATAAAAACTATGGGGTGTGTTTAGTTCCACACAAAAAAATTATGTCACATCAAACATTTAAACACCTACATAAAATATTAAATGTAGACTAAAAAATAACTACTTGCATATATTATGACTAATTTGCAACACGAACCGTTTGAATCTAATTGATCCATGATTTGACAATGCAGTGCTACAGTAAACATTTGCTAATGATGAATTAATTAGGCTTAATAAATTCATCTGGCAGTTTACAGGTGGATTATATAATTTGTTTGGTTATTATACTACTTTTAATACTTCAAATGTGTGTCCGTATATCCTATGTGACACGGTAAAAATTTTCACCCTGATCTAAACACAGCCTATATTTTCAAAGAGTTGCAAATGCAATGTCTCATCTCATCATCTACGGGGGTGTTTAGATCCACCGGCAATTATTTTTTTGCCTCGTCACATCGAATGTTTTAACATATGTATGGAGTATTAAATATTGAAATAAACAATTACACAGTTTGCGTGTAAATTGCGAAACAAATCTTTTAAGCCTAATTGTGTCATGATCTGACAATACGGTGCTACAGTAAACATTTACTAATAACAGATTAATTATGCTTAATAAATTCATACATGCAGATTATATAATTTATTTTGTTATTAGTCTATGTTTAATATTTTAAATATGTGTCCGTATGTTTGATGTGACCCGTCAATAAACACAGCCTGCTGGTATAGATGGAATTTTTTTTTGCCACATCGGATATACGGAACATATTTAAAGTATTAAATGTTGTCTAATAACCAAACAAATTACAGAATTCCGCCTAGAAACTGTGAGACGAATTTATTAAACCTAATTAATCCGTTATTAGTAATTATTTACTGTAGCAACATATTATTAAATCATGTCACGATTAGGCTTAAAAGATTCGTCTCACAATTTACACACAAACTGTATAATTGATTTTTGTTTCCACATTTAATACTCCATGCATGTGTTATGTGTAGAAACATTCAATGTGATAGGTGAATAGTTTTTATTTTGGGAAGTAAACAAGGCCTACATCTACGCGCGCGAGTCCCTTCCCGTTTCCAAAGCTTGTTTCTTTCTGCTAGCAAATCGTACATGGCGCCAGGGAGGGAGGCAGTTTGGCGGGTAGGCGGGGGGGGATAGAGCAGGTGGATGCGACGGGGCGCGGCGTGGTGTGGCGTGGCCGGCTGGATTCGTGGGTAAATGCGCGGACTTGGGGCGGCGAAAAGGCACGAGGTGGTGATGATGGCGGCCACAGCCCACAGGGGGTCGTGCTGCCTCGTGCGGCGCGGCAGAGCGAGGTCTCACGATTTCCAGGGATTGTTTGATTTAGGATGATTTTTGATTTTATTTTTCCAGGGCAAACCCATGGTTGAGTAGATTGAGATCATTATGGCGTATTTAACTGAAAATCAAATAAGATCCAACTTTTGAAATTATATTTTTTATATTCAAAAAAGGTTTTAAACACAAGCGAAAACCATGGGGAGTATTACACCAAGGGACAAGTGTCAAGTAGTAGGTAGGGAAAAATTCGAAACTCATGAGCTAACTCAACTATAGGTTTGCTCATATTTGAGCTCGAGCCAGCTCGCAAGTTACTCACTTAGGCTGAGTTCGGATGGGGAGGTTCCCCAACCCCTCTCGTATTCTGCGTGCATGTTTTTTAAACTGCTAAACAGTGTGTTTTTTTTAAAAAAAAGTTTCTATACGAAAGTTGTTTACCAGAAACCATATTGATCCATTTTTGAAAAAAATAGCTAATAGGGATGGGTTTATTAGTCGTTTTGGCTCGGTTAGCTGTGGATGAGAAAATTTGTCGTTGGAGCATTTTTCCCACGCATGAGACGAGATTGCCCTTGTGCATTGATGGCGTTATTGTTCCCAGATAACCTTCTTGTTACTCCTTTTAACGCTTCGTTTCCATCTCATTTAATTTTCGCATGCCCTCGCGCGCTATCTGTACTGAAGCTGCATGGGCTACACTCATGCATGGTGCCATGCAAAATTGCCAAGACAAAAAAAAAGGTATGTATCTAGAGCAGAAATCGAACTCAGGTCCCAAGACACCAATATGAATGCACTAAACCAACTGAGAGAGTAGTTGTTGCTTGTTTGCATGCTACACCTAACCGTTTTTAATAGGGATAAAATAGGAAATAAGAACCATACTTAATGACTTCTTGGTTTTTGAAATCCTGTCCGAAACGACTAATAAACCTAGCCCGGAGGGAGTAATTAATCACGTGCTAATGGACCGCTCCGTTTTCCATGTGGAGGAGTTGGGTTCCTAACCCATTGTATCGAACACAACAGCTTGTTTAGTTGATGAAGCATTAGAGTACAAGTGCATTGTGCATAATCAATAGCTACAAAAGACGTAAACTCACAACTGGCTATTTTAGGAGTCCCTCTCTCCCAAACACCCCCTTAGAGCAGGTACAATAGCAGGCTATAAGCCAGCTATAAACATATTTTAAAGAGATAAGAGCACCCGCAATGGTAAAATAAGATGCTATCTATAAAACATGTACATCTCAGCAATAGATTAGATTAATAGTAAACCACTTCAATGGTATGTCTACATGGGTATTTATAGCTCTCTAATCCATTGCCTCGTTTTTCTCTATAGACTATCTCCATGTTAGTAGATAGCTTTGCTCTCTCTCTTCATTTAATCTCTTCCAAGTAGGAAAATATGCTGACATGGATATCTTGTAGAGAGCTTATAGATAACCATTGTGGGTGCCCTAAAGGAATAGAGAGAGCAGCGGGCTACAGATCTGTACCCAGCTGCAGCACGGCCTCTAAGATGCAATATGTGTATGACAGATGGGACCAGGTATTAATAATATAGCAAGCAACTATTATATGATTTGGCTATTATATTGGCTATAGATGATTTGGAGCTGGTAGTGGATTATACTATTAAACTTGCTAGTATAAACCTTAAAGAGTCATAATGCATAGCGTGTTAACCATAGCCCTCGGTCACAGGCCCATAAAATGACACTATATACATGCAGATTTTACATCATGCATTATTTGTAACAAGCTTAACGAGTCAACTCGAGTTTCATTTTTAGCTTGTTATGTTAACGAGTCGGGATAAACTAGTTGATTAACTTAACAAGTTTTCATAAGTCAAGTTGAGTCGAGTAAAGTCGAAATGGGCAGCACGGAGAGGTCGGTCGTGGGTGGCTGAGGGCTTGAGGCAAGCTTTTTGTCTGTTATCTATGTGCCACTCGACGCCACGCTATCAGAGAGGAACAACCATAAGGGCAAATACTATAAGCCTCTATATATTACCTTTAAATTTACCCCTACATGCTAATTAAATTCTGATCACGGAGGTCTCAAAATAAATCTGGTCGATCGTAAAGTGGGTAAGAGCTAGAGAACATTATTTTTACAATTTTCTAAACGGATGTATTATCTTTAATTTTTTTAAATATATGACACCTTGATATTTTAACAAACTTTTGATCATTTATCTTATTCAAATTTTGTTTTCGAACATACCAAAATATAAGTCATGTTTAAAAAATCTTTAATGATAAATTAAGTCACAACATAATACTATATGATAATTACATAGAAGTTTTGAATAAGACGAATGATAAACGTTTGTTAAAGACTCAATGACGTTATATATTGAAAAACATAGGGATTATATATATTTATATATATATATATCGTTAAATTATTAATAGAAATTAAATAATATATATGAGAAAATATGAATGATAAATTCATGAACAAAATCCCAAATATATAAATGACAAATTACATAAAAGATTTCTCATTTCTCAATTCCGTTGGGCCATGACCTCGAGGCTCGTTCAATATTCCTTGGTCCATTTCAGAGCGTCAGCCCAAACGCTCTCGTTGGTTGCCTTATATAAGGACGACGTGCAAGCTAGCGTTCGTTCTCCCGAGAGGCCGATATACTCGCCTCAGATTGTGGAGAGATGGCGTCGGCCCCCGGCGACGGCAAGCAGGGCGGCGGCGGCGGCGGGCCGGCGGTGGGCATCGACCTCGGAACGACCTACTCGTGCGTGGCGGTGTGGCGGCACGACCGCGGCGAGGTCATCGCCAACGACCAGGGCAACCGCCTCACGCCCTCCTGCGTCGCCTTCACCGCCGACGACGACGACAGCTTCGTCGGCGACGCTGCCTTCAACCAGTCCGCACTCAACCCAACCAATACCATCTTTGGTGAGAAATAGTAGCTGTTTTCTACTCAATCAATCCAAAAAAAAACAAATCTAAAATATGATGTGATACATTATAACACGGTACTACACATCTAATACTGGATTGACTTTTTATTCAACGGTTGGAGCAGCTTGTTTCCTTCCTCACTTTTGGTGTCTTCTGCTTTCGTCACAAGGAGTGTCAATACAATTCAAGTAACAACCAATAGTCTCAATATAATCAAAGTGGCAACGAATAGTATGTGTGTCAGTCAAATCAAAATTTGGTCATTAATTTATCCTGATTTTCTGAGGTATTCATGTAGACATTTTTTTTCTCTCTTATGAGTGTATAGATATATTCTTAGACTAGATTATTAGATGTGAAGTGGATTTGTCTACTACACCACATAAAAAAAATACCGATCATACCATTGAAACCATTCCAAGAACTAGCAGGAACGAGTATAGCAAGCAAGTATAATATATTATATTTGTACGGTTGCAGGGTATACAAGCCTCTTAAAATTTCTCTTTCTGCCTTTTCACATTTCTGGGGGTTTTCTTTTTTACCTTTGTTTTTACTCGTCTATAGGTCTACCTTTTCATTATACGAGACTCTTTAGTTCCCAATACGACTATTTAGTTTCCCTATGCACTTCTAGTAATTAAACACTTCTGCCATATAAACCTGTCGTTCTTCAAAGCATGTTTCGCAAGTCATTGAATTGTTGCAAGCACCAAAGCAAAACTTGACAATTAATTAGAGCAAATTAAGATAATGTAGCCTTCAAATTTCAGGGAAAAGAAAAGAATCTGGTGGATTAGATTCGTAGCTGCAAGATCAATATTTTTACAGAAATGGTATAGGAGTCTCATAAAAAAATTATCGCAACTAGCTAGGCTATTTATATTTCACCCGATTGCTTGTTACCGTATGATTCAAAGTTAATTATTACTACTGCAGAAGTGAAGCGACTGATTGGCCGCCGATTCAGCGATGATTCTGTACAAAAAGATATCAAGCTTTGGCCTTTCAAAGTCGTGGCAGGTCAAGAGGACAGGCCGATGATCGTGGTGCGGCATGAAGGCGAGGAAAGGCAGTTCATGCCCGAGGAGATCTCCTCCATGGTGCTCGCCAAGATGAGGGAGACGGCCGAGGTGTACCTCGGCAAGACGGTCACGAACGCCGTCATCACTGTCCCGGTCTACTTCAACAACGCGCAGCGGCAGGCCACCATGGACGCCGGCGCCATCGCCGGCCTCAACGTGATGCGCATCATCAACGAGCCCACCGCCGCCGCCCTCGCCTACGGTCTCGAGAAGATGCCCGTCAGCAACAAGGGGAGGATGGTGCTCGTGTTCGATCTCGGTGGCGGCACATTCGACATCTCCCTTCTCAACATCGATCCCGGTGTCAACATCGATATGGGCCTCTTCGAGGTGAAGGCCACCGCCGGTGACACTCACCTTGGCGGAGCGGATTTCGACAACGAGTTGGTGAAGCACTCCTTGCGAGAGTTCAATCGGAAACATGGGTCGATGGACATTGAAAGCAATCAGAAGGCGTTAAGGAGATTGAGGACCGCCTGCGAGAGAGCGAAGAGGATGCTGTCATCCACGATGCAGACCACCATTGAGGTAGACTCGCTCCATCAAGGCATCGACTTCCGCGTCACCCTCACCCGATCCCGATTTGAGGAGCTGAACAAGGATCTCTTCAGCAAGTGCATGGAGGCTATGGAGAATTGCCTCCGCGACGCCAAGGTGGACAAGTGGAGTGTTGACGATGTCGTCCTCGTGGGTGGCTCCACCCGCATACCCAAGGTGCAGAAGATGCTGAGTGAGTTCTTCGACGGGAAGGAGCTCTGCCGCAGCATCAACCCCGATGAAGCCGTCGCGTATGGCGCCGCCATCCAGGCCTCCATTTTATGTGGTGGAACCGATGATAAGAGGTTGGTTGATATGCTTCTCCGCGAAGTCACGCCGCTCTCGCTAGGTGTTGAGACTGAAGATAATTGTACAATGAGCGTGGTGATCCCAAGGAACACTGCAATCCCGACCAAGAAGGTGAAAAACTTCACTACTCTCTACGACAACCAGATCAACGTGAGCTTTCCGGTGTACGAGGGTGAGAGCGCAAACACCAAGGACAACAACCTGCTCGGCGAGTTCACGCTATATGGCATCCCCCCGGCACCCAAGAGAGTGCCATCTATCGATGTCACTTTCGACATTGATGCCAACGGGGTCTTGAACGTTTCTGCCGAGCACAAGGTCACCGGACAGAAGAACAGCATCACCATCACTAACCGCAGCGGACGGCTGAACAAGGAGGAAATCGATCGCATGGCTCTGGAGGCCGAGAGGCACAAGATGAAGCGGATCAAGCAAAACGAAGTAGTCTAAATGAACTGAACATTGAAAGTGATTCTGCGACCTACCATGATCAAAGAAGTATCATCGGCATCCTAATGCAATGGGCTAGCTGCTACAGGGGTTTGATTATTGGGTGCTTAACGCTAGTATTGTCATGCAACTTCTGGCTTGGCACATGTATGGCCAAATCCTAGCTTAAGCTTTTATTAATTGTTTCTGGGACAATGTTTTAATTGCTGATATTGGAGTAATCTTCTGTATCTGTTTAGTGTCTTGCATTTGCTGATCTTTGGCAGTAGTAGTTTCAGTTTTCCTTCGATACACCCAGTTGTCTGATGTCAAAATGGCCTAATTGAAGTGATTGTTAGTTCTTGTATCACTAAAAGAAAGGAAATGCTGATTGTTTGACTCATCAAGAAACCAGAACTGGAACATATGCAACTGTCACCATAGTGCAAACATATTTGCAGGAATGTGCCTTTTGTATCATGAGTAGGAAATCGTATTGATGTCCTACTGATACCATACTGTTTGGCACATAGTTATTTTCTCACCAGACCAAAGTTTATGCTAAACAGTCAGGTCGCTGCTCCGTTTCAACTTTCAAGCTTAAGCAAAGAGAGATCAATGATCACATTTAGACCTGGGGAACCAGACCAATGTTTACGCTAAACAGTCAGAGGTCGCTGGTCCTTTTCAACTTTCAAGCTTAAGCAAATTAAAGAGAGATGATCACATTACACCTGGGGAAGAGTCTCTAACTCATACCTAGCCAAAACTGGCATGGAATGATTTGGAATAATTAAGGAGTCGGGAATAGGCGGCGAATTTGTCAATATATCGTTGGAGGTGACCAGTTCCGGTGTCTAGGTGAGCTGCCAGGAGCGGCCCAAACAGAGTAGAACAGGGCCCTACCAGGAGCGGCGGCTGGGGTGGCGCCGGCGAGGTTTTGACAGCAGTGGACGTCGGTAAGGAGGGTGCTGTGGTTAACCTCCATTTTGAACGAGAAGCAGGCTATGGTTTGAAATTTTGGTTCAAAATTTCTGAAATTTTGGTAATTTCGGCACCCACCGGCAAGGTCAAAATCGCCTTGAAATTTTCGGTTTTATCAAACATTTGTAAATTTGGTTAAAATTTGTTCGAATTCAGTCAAAATATGTTAAAAAATTCAAAACAATTCGGCCAAAAAATTCTGAAATTTCGGTGATATCGGTTCTTTCGGTCCCCACCGGCAAAAACACAAGTTCCGAAATTGCAAACCCTGGAAGCAGCTGTATATATATAGCATCACAGCGGCTAGGTCACAATAATGAAAAAAGAAAGAAAAATGTTCGCCTCTCAACTATTGGATTTGTGTCTTTCAAATGTATAAAATCAGGTTTGTAGTATCTTTCAACTATTAAAATCGGATCAATTTATCTTACTAGACGGTTTAGATGGTGGCTTTATTCTACATGACACTCTAACACGATCTTTTATATGACGTGATGCTTCAATAACATTATAGTAAAAAAAGATTAAATAGGCAGGACCCACATGTAAGACTCTCATACTCTCAGAAATAGCAATGAACCCACGTATCATCCTCTCTCTCGTGCTTTTTTCCTCCCTTCATGGGGCCCACATATCAGCATCGCATAGCACAAACTTTTTCGATATACAAGTCATCGTTTTTTTTCAAGTACAAAGTTTAATTTGAAACCTTATGGTGCATGTCATCAAATAGGACGTCGAGATGGACAGCATGGGGGCAGCTAATTGGCGCGCGTGCCCTCCCTTCTCTTTTTTTTGCGCGCGACTTTTTTCTCCTCTTTTGGCCTCCTTCCCCTCAACGTGTTTTCTCTTCCTTTTTATAATTTGAAAGTTTTCAAATATGGACTTAAAAATTTTCAATCTAGAGTTGAAAGTTTTCAAATCTCGAGTTGAGAATTTTCAAATCTGAGTTCAAAGTTTTCTAATCTCAAGTTGAAAATTTTCAAACCTGAGTTTAAAGTTTTCAAAATTTGAATTGAAAGTTTAAAACTTAAGTCAAAAGGTTTCAAATCTAACTTGAAAGTTCAAATTTTAAGTTGAAAATATTAAAAATTTGAGTTTAGAGTTTCAAATTTTGAGTTGAAAGTTTTAAATTTTACGTGAAAGTTTTTTTCACGTATAGATTTCTTTTTAATCTGTTAGTAAAAAAATATTCCGGAAAAAAGGAAAATATTTTCTTAATTATCATCATTATCCAAAACTAATCGAGTTAGTTACGTTCATCTACGGAATCGCGCGCTGGCGGCGCGTAGTTTTGGCCGGACCATATCGCTGCACCCGCCCACCTTCAACTCTAACCCCGACTCATACGGAGACGGCTTCATGCACATTTTTGTGCGCGACACTGAAAAAACTCGACCACCAGATCGATCAGCCAACGTAGTCGCTTAGGCTGAGTTTGTTCCTCAGGTTGAGAACGGGTCCAGATCCAGATTGATGTCAGCCGTAACATGGGTAGAACCTCCATTTAATTTGTACAAAATTAAATAATCTCCATTTAATTATTATTATTATTATTATTAAATATTTTATTATTTAAATATTCATAAAATAAATAATAAATCTGTGCCATTCCGTATGCTTCCAGGGCTGGGATTAAGCCACATTAATTTGTACTTAAAAACCAGCAATTGACCATGCAACAAATAAACTAGCATCAACAACTTGTCATGAGATCATTTTACAGTATAATTAGCACATAAATTTCATGCTTCATATATTATATAAAAATCATATACATTAATATTGATATGGTTCACTGTTTGAATATATGTGAAAGTACTATATATGTTGGGCTTGCAGCTTTAGAGTTGATCGACACAAAACGCTGTTCTGTTACTTTTTTTTTAGTGAGAACTTAATCAAATCGCTATTATAGAGGAAATGCATGAAAAAAAAATTAAGTTTCCTCGGAAGCCATAACCATTAATTTGAGTTAATTTATTAGGTGAAATTGATGAGGAATGATCTCAGCTGTAGAAAACTATGGATAGCATAGATTTGGCCAATTCCATCTGGTAGAGTAATACTCAACTACTCCGGCTGATCTAGACCCGGTTGAGAAGTCATCCCTCGCGCACACAAAACGAAACGACTCATTAGCACATAATTATTTAAATATTAGCTATTTTCTTAAAAAATAAATTAATATGATTGCCTGCCGATGGATAATAAATTAATATTTTTCACATTTCTCACAGAACAACTCGACCACTTCCTAATAACTCGATTGCCTGCCGCTAACTTTCTGAATATTCGTAAACAAATTAATTAAAAACGTACAACGCTTAATTCTACCTCGGTTAATTCGTTCAATTTTCTATGTGTTTCCAAGAAAATACGCATGTACATGTAACTTGTGCAACAATGCAACAACTACAAGTATAGTAGTTAACGCTGGACTAATTTTATCGTACAGATAGTCAATGCCTTTTAATTGTGAGAAATTGTACGATCGTACCAAAACTTTACTCTAAAATATTATTGGTAACTCGAAGTATATCTGATAATGTACCAAGTTTTTCCTCCCGAGTAAAATTAGCCTTAATTTGTTCATCAAGTTTGTCCTTGCTATGTGGACAATTGGACACTTCCTGCACGTCACGTACGGTTCTTTTTATCAGTGAGGCGCTTGCTAATTAACTGAAACTTTTTTCTTAAATTCAGTTGGTTTTTTTCTAAATCAAAATTTTTTATTCATGTTACAAAATCGATGCAACTATCCAATAATCAAATCCCTGTAGCAGCACATTGCATTAGGATGCCAATCGATGATAGGACTTCTCAGGTCTGGTCCGCACATTGCAACGGTGATGTTGTTGGAATTAATGAATGGGCCTTAGCCCACTCGAAGATTAATTCTTTGGAAAATCACAAAAGCCCACCTCATGGGATGGCATGCATGTGGAGTTTAGTACCATCTTACTTATTCTAGGAGAAGGGGGACCTCCTTAAAAGGGAGGATGCCCTCCTAGTCACTTGAAGCATGTGTGGTGGAGAGAAGAGGGGAAACACACGCGCGCGCTCGCTCGCCTCGACTTGGTGAATGCCATGTTGAACACCGCGGGACTGCCTAAGGCATGGTGGGGGGAGGCATTGTTGACCTCAAATCATGTGTTAAACAGAGTTCCTAACAGAAATAAGGACAAAACACCATATGAGATATGGATTGGTAGAAAACCATCACTTTCTTATTTGACTGTGGACTGTGTTTTTCTGGGATATGCTCATCATAGCATTGCCTATAGATTTTTAATAGTTAAATCCGAGGTACCGGACATGCATGTTGGTACAATTATGGAGTCTCGTGATGCTACCTTCTTTGAGAGCTTTTTCCCAATGAAGGATACACATAGTGGTTCGAACCAACCCTCTGAAATAATTCCCAGTTCAATCACACCACCAGAACAAACTGAACATACACATGAACTTGTCTCTGAGGAGGATGTCAGTGAAGCTCCTCGAAGGAGTAAGAGACAAAGGACGGCTAAGTCTTTTGGTGATGATTTCACTGTGTACCTCGTGGATGACACTCCTAAGTCAATTTCAGAAGCATATGCATCTCCTGATGCAGACTACTGGAAGGAGGCTGTCCGTAGTGAAATGGATTCCATTATCGCTAACGGGACTTGGGAGGTGACAGAGCGACCCTATGGGTGTAAACCTGTGGGGTGCAAGTGGGTGTTCAAGAAGAAGCTTAGGCCTGACGGTACTATTGAAAAGTACAAGGCTCGGCTTGTTGCTAAGGGCTATACTCAGAAAGAAGGCGAAGATTTCTTTGACACTTACTCACCTGTTGCTAGATTGACCACAATTCGTGTGCTACTTTCCCTAGCAGCCTCACATGGTCTTCTCGTTCATCAAATGGACGTTAAGACAACTTTTCTTAATGGAGAGCTGGATGAGGAGATCTATATGGATCAACCTGATGGGTTTGTAGTTGAAGGTCAAGAAGGCAAAGTGTGCAAATTGTTGAAGTCTTTGTATGGTCTGAAACAAGCTCCTAAGCAATGGCATGAGAAATTTGACATAACATTGACATCTGCAGGCTTTGCAGTCAATGAGGCAGATAAATGTGTGTACTATCGCCATGGTGGGGGTGAGGGAGTTATTTTGTGCTTGTATGTTGACGACATACTGATATTTGGGACAAACCTTGAGGTGATAAATGAGGTTAAATCATTCTTGTCTCAAAATTTTGATATGAAGGATTTGGGAGTAGCTGATGTTATCTTAAACATTAAGCTAATTAGAGGTGAGAATGGGATTACACTCTTGCAGTCCCATTATGTGGAGAAGATCTTGAATCGC